AGGAAAGTATCATCTTGTCTTTAGATCTGTTCTTCTTCTACATTCTTGGATCTGTTTCTTTGCTGTAGCACCTTATATGTCTAGTTTAATTTGTTTCCTAAGATATTCCTCTATGTCTTTCCAATTTATTTGCTTGTTTTCTTCTTCCTTTTCTAAGAATTGTGAGAGTTTGTCTAGATTCCTAAATTCTACCAGCTTTTCGAACCACTCTTTGATGCTAGGGGTCTCCTTGTCTTTCCATTTTTTTGCAATTAAAATTTTTGCTGCAGCGGATAGGTAGAAAAGCGTTCTTTCTTGATTTTTTTTAAAATTGGTGTTCGTTATGTTCAGTAGATAAAGTTCAGGTTTCATGTCAAATTTTTTGTGAATGATGTTTTGGGCATGCTTGTGTACAGTCTTCCAAAATTTCTTGACCTCTCCACATAGCCAAAATTGGTGATAATAGGTTCCGCTTTCTTTTTTACATTTCCAGCATCTCCCATCATATTCCTTATTGAATTTAGCCAGTTGCATTGGTGTTAGATGCCACCTGTAAAATACTTTGTACCAATTCTCTATAATATTGGTTGCCTTTGTGAATTTTAATTTGTTTCTCCAGACTTGCTCCCACTCATCAAGTAGTAGAGAATGACCAAAATCCTTAGCCCATTTAATCATATTTTCTTTGACCACTTCCTTTTCATTTTTCCATTCTAGTAGTTTCTGATATAGTGTTTTGATCAGATTTTTTCCTTTTTTCATAACAGTATCCCAGCATGTGTCAATTTCATTAAAGCCCAGTTTTTGATCGACCTTGAAGTGTTCTTTAATCTGTAGGTAATGAAGCCAACTCATTCCCTTATCTTCTTTTTTTAGGTCTTCTAAGGGTCTCAGTTGCCATTCTCCCTTATTCTTAATGAGCAATTGCTTGTAGGTTAGCCACTTACTTCTGGGGATTTCCCTCTTGTGATAAGCCTCCACTGGTGATATCCATGTGGGCGTTTTCCTATAAAAATGGCCTTTATATTTGTTCCAAGTTTTTAATAGGGAAGCTCTTATGTAGTGGTTTGTAAAATTTCTTTCGATGGACGCTTTTTCATACCACAGGTATGCATGCCATCCCCTTCGGATATCGTGGCTCTCCAACGTCAGCAATTTTTTCTGTTCCAGGGTAGCCCATGTTTTTGTCCAGAGTAGGGCAGATGCTTCGTGATATACCTGGAAATCTGGTAGGGCCAGTCCTCCTCTCTGTTTTGCATCCGTGAGATTTTGGAAATTTATTCGATGTTTTTTCCCCTCCCAGATGAATTTTAAAATGTCTTTGTTCCACGTTTTAAAACATGCGCTCGTTTTGATAATTGGTATCATCTGAAATAGGAATATTAGTTTTGGCAGCACACTCATTTTAATGGCTGCTATTTTCCCTAGTAAGGAGAGTTTAAGATATTTCCAGTTTTCCAGTTTCTTTTTTATCTCATTCCAGCCCTTTTCGTAGTTTTCCTTGAACAAATGTCTATTTGATGAGGAGATCACAATGCCTAGGTATTTAATTTTTCTGGTAACCTCTATTCCTGTATCTTCATGAATTTTATCTTTTTCCTTTTTGGTTACATTCTTTGTTAACATTTTTGTTTTGTTTCTATTTATTTTGACTCCTGCCAGTTTTCCAAAGGTCTCGATCTTGGCTATCCACTTGGTGGTGTTTTGCACTGGATTGTCTATTATACATACAAGATCATCAGCGAAGGCTAGGACCTTGTATTCCTCCGATCTGATCTTCAAACCTTCCAATTCTTTATCTTCTCTTAGGTCCTCTAACAGAATTTCCAATACCAATATAAATAGGAGGGGGGATAGGGGACATCCCTGTCTCACGCCTCTCTGGATTTTTATCTTGTCTGATTGTTGACCGTTAATTATTACTGTTGCGGTTTGGTTTGTGTAAAGAGCTCTTATAGCGTTTCTGATGTAGTAACCAATGTCCATTTCTATTAGTACTGCTGTTATGAAGTCCCAATTTGTGCGGTCGAAGGCCTTTTCCGCGTCTAAAAATAGTAGGCCTATATCTTTTTGTGGGTTTTTTTCGTACAGTTCAATAATATCTATCACAGTCCTTATATTGTCTCTCATTTGCCTATTTGGAAGAAATCCCCGTTGGTCTTCTTTTATTCTATCTTGTAATAACGTTTTAAATCTCTCTGCCAGAAGGCTTGTAAATATTTTGTAGTTGTAGTTTAGCAGCGAAATAGGGCGATAGTTTTTTAGATCGGTGGGTTCTGTACTTTCTTTATGTATGAGCGTGATGTTTGCCTCATGCCACGTCTCAGGCATATCGCCGCCTCTCATGATGTTATTCATTATATCTTTCAGATGTGGTGCTGTTTCTTCCTTAAAGGTCTTGTAATATTGGGCAGTAAGGCCGTCTGGGCCTGGAGTTTTGTTAGCTGCTAATTTGTTTATAGCTTTTGTCACTTCCTCTTCTGTAATCGGTTTGTTCATATATTCTCTTTCTATATCGGAGATCCTTGGGATTTTACGCTTGGAGAGAAAGACCATTATGTCTTCTTTATCTATTGGATCTTTTTTGTAGAGCTCTTGGTAAAAGATTCTAAATTGTTCGGCAATTTCTTTTTCTTTGGTATAGTTTTTATTTCCCTTCTTGATCTGAGTTATGTATTTTTGCTGCTTCCTCTTCATAAGTTTTTTCGCCATGTATCTTCCTGGTTTGTTTGCTCTTATAAAGTACTGGGCTTTAAGGTGTTTCATATTTTTAGCCATCTGATCTATTTGCATTGCTTCAATTTTTTTCCTTCATCCCTGTCAATCAAACCTGTGAAGGAGGCGGGACCGAGAGCAGGACCTACCCAGCAGATTTTAGTGTTCTAGCTGGCGCATAAAGGGAGATGCGTTCAGACTAGACTGGAACCATTTAGGACTTTATAGGCTCAAGTCAGCACTTTGAATTCTGTTTGGTAGCAGACTGGCAGCCAGTGGAGTTAGCACAACAGGTGGGTTGTATGCTCCCTTTACGCCACCCCGGTGAGCAATCTGGCTGCCGCCCGTTGGACTACTTGAAGCTTCCGAACAGTCTTCAAAGGCAACCCCATGTAGAGCATATTGCAGTACTCTCTTCAATGTGTCGAGAGAATAGACCACCATGGCCATTTAGGAAAGTTCAAAAAGCAGTTACCACATTACATATAGAGGCAGCATCCCAAAAATGCATATACACACATACAACCGCTCTCTTCCTTTTGCCACCAACTCTTCCTTGTTGGCCTATAAACCACCCCTCCATTGGTTGAAGAAGATGTCAGAAAGTTACTCATAGCAAAACTGCACAATAATTTGACATTTGTTTCCTAGCAGAAAGAAGAGCATGGCAGTGAATAAATGAGCAAAACAGGGAATGCTTAGATGAATTGCTGCTTCGGTCTATTACCCCATCTCCTTTCTTCTGTAAACCTTAAGATTTCATCTTAACAGCCATTTTAGGTGTCTGCTCTTTTTACATTGTAAATCTTGTCAAAGCAAGGCTACAATGCTTCACACTTTGCAGGCAGCCATACTAGGGATATAGCTTCCCTACTATCTAAACTAGCTCCATTTTAAGAAATAATGAATGAATGTTGTTTTCATAATTAATTAATTAATCAAGACCAGCCAGGATTCATAAGGTAGCATGCATATGGGTTGTTCAGATGCATTTAACAATAATTTTGTGTTGTATATCATATGAAGCCAACTGCTTTTACAGTGAGAACAGCAAGGCAGAAATTAGTAGGTAGCAGGCCCCACATCATAACCAATTAGCACATAATTATCTTAAATAGAGATGCAAACATCACCACTTTCCAAGTTTTAATGATCTATAATAAAATTGTGCTTTTATTTTGTGTGTTTTCACTAATGTTTCTTCCTCCCTCCCTCTTTCCAAAGTGTTCCAAACCCAACTTATATAGCAACCAATGAAGTCATTCTGCATATGGGGAGTAGGAAATATTTCTCTCCATTGACAGACTTGTTTTAAGATCCTGGATCTGATGGATAATCGGAAATTGCAACATAGCAAGTAGCTGCTAGAAAACCCCATTGATCATATAATGTTTTGTTTATTTCATTCATTCATGCCCATCTTCCAGGTATGCTTTGAATGTGATTTTCCTGCTTCTTGGCAGGGGGTTGGACTGAATGGCCCACAAAGTCTCTTCAAATTCTATGATCACCTCTCATAAGATCAAAGTTGACAGAAAGTTCCAGCAGAAACTGCTACAGTCCAAGCTGTATTTTTTCTCAATGAAAAAAGTGATGCAGGGTTGAAGGAAGAGTGAGACAACACCTGCTCACTTCTTCTGGTGAATTGTCCATTCAGTATTGATACTTTGTAGTCTGAGCCGTAAGTGACGCACAAAAATTCTGTGTGAGCTCTCTGGAGTTCCTTCTCAGCTCTCATGAACAGCAGATGAAAACACCTCAGGGGATGTGCACTTGTCACAGCACATCCGATATAATATTATCATATTTATTATAACGCATAGAAAAAAAAATCAGTGCTCACATGATTCTTAAAATAATGTTAAAGCTTAACAGAATGCACTCTGGTACTACAAGATTCAGAGCCAATCTTAAGAAATGGGGCCACAAAGTGGAGTCCATGAAATGCGAGTAGAGCAAACCACAGACCACCTACTCCAATGCGGCCTGAGTACAATGGGGGACCTTCTTACAGCGACACCAGAGGCACTCGATGTGGCCAGCTTCTGGTCAAAGGAAATTTAGTATAATGCCAAGTTTTTAATTTTGTTTGAGGTCTTCTCATACATTATGTCTTCTCATTTTGCTTCTGACACAATAAATGAAAATAAATACAGAATTTAGGAGGAAAGAAATATGGAACATCCAAATGCTGACAAACACACAATATTTCCCAGCATTTCAGGATCACACACATATATTTGATTACTGTGTGGTGTGGGAATATTTGTCTCCCAAACAAAATAGAGTGAGCGATAGCCACTTACCTATTAGCTCCTTATTTCGGACATCTAAGGCCATATTCCGTAAAGCTGTTGCAACCGCACATACTACTCGATCATTGTCTATCCGAAGGAGCTCTACTAGAATTGGCAGGCCTTTTTCCTTCCGTACTGCAGCGCGGATATATACTGACCACTGTAAAGAAACATTACACACAAGCAAATTAGAAAGAGGTGCTCTATCAAATAAAAAGGCAGAATGAAACTTTGGGATTTGCGAAAAGGAGATTAACAGATAACATTTTAAAAATGTTCATGACATAAATTCTAATTTTAGTTTGAAAACCCAAAGAGAAAGTTTATATGGTTGATTTAAAAACCACTGGGCAATCTGGTTTCAATGCAATGTCTGCTTTACAAATAAATGTATTTACGTGGCTCTCAAGGCTGATAGAGATTTCCAGCCACATAATCGTCATTAAGAGATTGAATCTAGAGTTGGATTGTATGTTCACATCTTTTAGCCCTTCCACTATTTATTAGATTTTTTTCCAGATGATTATAATATTGACTGAGCCAGCATGGTGTAGTGATTAAAATGGTGGAACAGGCATGGGTTCAATTTCCCACTTGGTCATGAACACTCTTGGGTAATCTTGAACCAGATGCTGTCTGTCTGCCTCAGCTGTATCACATCCTTATTGTGAGGATACAGTACTAGGAAGAGAGCAAGGGAAACCAATTTGAGCTCTCTGGTGGAAAAGTAAGGAAAGATAAGATATTAATGGGATCAGAAACAACAAAAATATTTTATAATCTGGTTGTAAGGATTATTAACACTCATTAAGGGCCACTTTATGGAAACATACACATCATTATTACATTTTATAACACACACACACGTGTGTACGTTATTGATTGTTTCACACCAAGATACAAGGGTTGAATGAAAAGTAATGCCTCCACCTTCGTAACTCCTTAACAGATGGCAGTACTGGTATATGGCAGGTACTGGCTTGTTCAGTAGACTCTCCTCTACAGTTCCATTTTGGCAGGAAGCCTTAGCATTGACAGTTTCATTGTTAAAGTGAGAAGTATGGAACCCTGCGCAGATGGTCAGTCAATGCAACTTAAGCAACATGCAGTCATTGAATTCTTGACAGCAGAAGGTGTCACCCCAAAGGAGATTAATCAGAGAATGCAAGCCGTTTATGGTGATTGTGTTAATGTGAGTAATGTGCATCGTTGGGCGAGTAAGTTTAAAGATGTTGATACTTCACACTTTAACAACACAACCATTCAATACTAAGGTTTCCCACCAAAATGGAACTGTAGAGGAGAGTCTACTGAACAGGCCAGTACCTGCTGCATATCAGTATTGCCATCTGTTGAGGAGTTATGAAGGTGGAGGCATTACTTTTCATTCACCCCTTGTAGAACGAGTTCTATGTAACACTTAGGCTTTGTGTTTCCAAAAATAGGGCAAACTGCTGATTCTTCATCTAGCAATTAACAATGATTAATTGCTTCAGCCTGCAATTTAAAATTTAGACCAAAATGCAGGTATCACCGCCACAAGAATTATCTGTGAATTATCTGTACATGACCACAAAGCTTCAACGACCCCGCAAAGCTGCTTCAGGTAGTTGTTGAAAAGTATAGAGGACAGTATTGATTCCTGAAGAGCCCCACAGGCTAATAGACAAAATGCTGAACAACAATTCCCTAACACCAATCTCTGGGAATATTCAGCCAAGAAAGACTAGAACTCCAGGACAACACTCTCAAGTCCTGTATTAGGCAAATATCCCTGAAATATCCAGGAGGATCAACAGGGTTGCACTCTCCTGTCTGATTCCTGGAGTAGGCCATCCCACAAAGTGATCAAGGTTGCTTCTGTGCTATAACCAGGTCTGAACCCAGACTGCAGTGGGTTCAGGTAATCAGTTTCATCCAAGAATGGCAGAAGCCACGTTGCCACCACTCTAGGACCTTAATGAGAAAGGCGAGATTAGAAACTGGCTGATAGTTACCAAAGAAGTTTTTTTTTTCCAACAAAGGTCTTACAGTTGTTTTTTAGAGACAATAGAACATCAATGAAGCATTTACAATACCCACCATCCAATTTGCTAGTCCTCCTCTGGCAACTTTAATTAGATAGTTGAGCACAGTTTAACAAAGAAGTAGTTGGCCTCACCTCTCCAAGCAACTGTTCTAGCAATTTGAAACTGGTGTCACTAGTGTGATTATTGTTACTTCTAGGTAACCTGAATATGTATCCCATTCTTCCCATGTGTGTCCCATTCAGTTCAGAGAGGTTTACCCAGGGGTGTATATCAGGGTTACAAATCTCTACATATGCTCGGCAGATTATTGTAGTGTGGGATACTTCATTTATGTGGCAGTTCACTACCAGTTTATCCATGGGCCCCTTCTCATTACACATTTATAGTGTTATAATTCCATTTTAACTATTATGATCTCATCTTCTGGAATCCTGGGTCTTTTTAGTTGATGGCATTTAGAAATCTGAGTCAGAGAGAGCAGTGTCTCAAAAAACTACAAACACCAGGATTTGATGAAAAGCAGCTGTGGCAGTTAAATGGACTTGTGAAAGGGCCCTACATGTAAGGCAATGTCTGCCTAGTCCCTAGTTGTRCTACACAATAGTTACTCAGCATGGCACTTATTTATTTATTTATTTGCTTTATTTCTATACCGCATTTTTCAGCCCAATCAGGCGACTCAATGCGGTTTACACGATACAGGTTATCACAACAATGTCATATGCAATTWAAAACACATCAAATACAACAGACAAAATCAACAACAATTATCAAATCAAATCATAACGCCTCAATGAAATCAGATCCGTTCTCATAATCCTTGTGCCATTCCTATGTTCAATTTTACCGTCTTCCTGTGTTCAGTTGCACTGTTTAACCAAACGCTTGTTCATAAAGCCAAGTCTTAAKCTTTCTCCGAAACGCCAACAACGAAGGGGCCTGTCTGATGTCTACAGGTAAGGCATTCCATAGCCGAGGGGCCACCACCGAGAAGGCCTTGTCTCTCGTTTTATTCTATTGTATTTTTATTGCATCTTATTTTATGTTAAGTCGCCTTCGGGCTGAGAAATCTGGCATAGAAATGCAGTAAATAAAAATTAAATAATAAATTTTAGGCACTTTTTGCCCGAATCCCTTTGGGGAGATGGTGGTGGGATACAAGAATAAAATTATCATCATCATCATCTGAAACACAACAAGCTGTTGGCTGTTGTATTGGATCACATGTCGGACACTTCCCAAGTATCTAGGACTGTGTGATATATCGACAAATAATGCAGATCCCAGTAAGGTGGCCTTTTGCAGCTGGCAGATGGTAATCTTGTCACTGGTGATTGTGTTTAAGTGCAGGCCAAAGTCTTTAGGCACTGTACCCAGTGTGTCGATCACCACTGGGACCACCTTGGCTTGTGCCACAGTCTTTTCAATTCGATTTTTAAATCCTCCTATCATGTCAGCTTTTCCAGTTGTTTCTCTCCAATCCTGCTGTCACCTGGGATTGCAACATCAACAATCCATATTTTGTTTTTTAACATGATCATGAGGTCAGGAGTATTGTGCTCCAAAACTCTGTCTGTCTGAATCTGGAAGTCCCAGAGTAGTTTGACGTGTTCATTTTCTGTAACTTTTTCTGGCTTGTGATTCCACCAGTTCTTTGTCGCAGGCAGATGGTATTTGTGGCACAAGTTCCAATGAATCATCTGAGCAATGGTGTTATGCCTCTGCTTGTAGTCTGTCTGTGCGATCGTCTTGCAGCAGCTGAGGATGTGCTCTATTGTTTCATCTGCTTCCTTGCAGAGTCTACACTTGGGATCTGTCGTCCACCTTTCAATTCTGGCATCATCATCATCATCATCATCACTATTGTCTTTAAAATTTCCACACAGAAGTGCTGCTGCTGCTGTAGTTATAACTTCATAGATTTCCATCCACCTGGGAGACTTCCCAAAGTTTAAGCTTGTATATTTTCAGCTCAACAAGACAGATTTGGTGAAACAAAATTGTTTTAGCCTAAAGCAGAAATGTCTCAGTGTACCTGGCAATTTCCCAAGGATACAGTCACTAATTTTTGCAATCTGTCTCAAAGGTAATACTATTCAGAAGGAATTTTCTGATTACTATAAAGGGCAAGTTATTTGCAGCAAGTTTTTCTTTCTATAAACATTTTTTTGCATTATCAAATGGCACTGAAGTTGGCAAGTGGCAAGCTGAATGACATTGCTTAAGCAAAGGATACACAAGGAGGATTAGGCATTTTCTTTTCCCCTCTGGATAGTCTCCTCCAGGGTCAAACACATTTGAGGCAAACTGACAGGGCAGAATGAAGAAGCTTATCCTGCACAAGTTTTCTGGGTAAGCAGATTATTTCATTCACTGCTCAGCTGTACCAATTTTGCTTGCTGACCTCCCATTTCAAAGAGTGATTGTTTGGTTGAGCCTGCTTACCTTGGACATGACAAACCATGCATCTTGTTGATATATGGGCTATTTTTAGCAAGTCCTGGTGGGATAAATCATGTGAACTACTGCCTGGTCCATATAGATTACTACACTGAATTAACAGCTTTATAGCTGTTAAATAAAACATGCTGGCGTAATACAGAAACAAATGTATTAAATCACATTGGCATGAACACAACCTGAGCCGTGCATCTTGGCAGGGACTGATTAAGTTCTAAAGGAGGATTTTTGCCGAATCAATCCTTGTCTCATAGTTAGTCCATAAACAGACTCAGGCTATCCTCCAGCCCAATGAAACAAAACCCCAGTTTATGTATTCTCGTTTATTCTTAACCCTCCCTGCTTTTTCCAGCAAATATACTAATTGGTGTCAAATGAAACTGAATCCTTCTGAAATAAGAAATCTTGTAACAAACTCAATCAAAGGAGCAGAGGTAATGAGGGGCTAAAGTATTTTGGCCAGTTGGCGAATAATTGACATTTTTAACCATTAAAAAGGTTCCAAGATCAGAAAAGTAAGTTCCGACCAGTAATCACAATTATTTCTGTTGAATCTGGGTTTGGAAACGGAGCTCATACCTTCCAACTACCTGCTGCCAGATTCTGTAGTGCACCTGCTGCCCCTTCCAACGTGTCTGGATTTGAGCATTCAGAGAGAAGTGTGAGGTAGGGTTTGACTATGGATGGGTGCCACAGCATCTGGATTCCTTTTGGTGGTTCTGCACAGTCAGGAAGAGGACCGACGCCATCCCACTGAAAAGGGGAGAGAAAGGGGGGGGGGGAATGTCAGAAATGATGGCAAAATAAAGAAGTAAAGCTAGAAAGTAAATTTAGAGACATGTGGCTCTAAATTTTACCTCTTAGACACCACAAGATGCCAGTTTTTTTTTAAAAAAAATTCACCTTCTAGTGATTGAAAATCCATATTATTTTAGCCATTAGCCACAACGAGGTGAATACCATAGACAGTGATGACATCATGATTTTTTTTTGGTGCCTTGGTTTTTAAGCCTGTACCCGACATTGAGTCAGAAAATAAATAAATAAATACAAATAACCTTTATTTATATTCACTTTATCTCCCCAAGGGGACTCAGAGTGGATTACAGAACACATACATGGCAAACATTCAATGCCATTATACAATTAACAAAGATAGACAGTACATAGACAGAAGCAAGGCTTCCCTCTTTTTAATTTCCAACATCTGGAGGCTGTGCTTGACTCGGCTATGAGGAGGTGCTGTTGTTTCGTTTTCCATGCCAAGGAACCTGTTGTCCATGGATGCCTTCCTGATCGAATTGCTGGCAGGACTTCTTCAGGGGCGCCTTTTACTTCCCCGCCAAAGCAGTACCTATTGATCTCTTCACATTGCTGTTTTCAAACTGCCAGGTAAGCAGAAGCTAGGGCTGATGGTGAGAGCTCACCCCAACCGTGTCTTGAATTGCCAACCTTCTAGTTGACAAGATTTTCTGTACCTGGCAGTTTAACCCACTATGCTAACCATGGCCCTAAAATTGCATTGGTTAGACTGCATGAGCTCTCGTTTCTTAGACATGGTTATCATGTTTCTCTATCGGAAAGCAGAGGGCAACTGGTAGATGGTATATGTTCTGTACCTCAAAAACTAGAGCTGATTGGGATCAACTGGTGTCGTTGTTGGAATCAGTGGGTCACATACACTCAGAAACAGGTCTAATATTTGAGACACCAAAATCACAGTTTGGATACAAAATATAATGAAAAAGTTTTTAAAAGCAAGTCAGTTATTATATATATTAAAGGTAGAATTACATATGATAATATATATTCATTCCTGATGGAAATAAGAGGATTCTCTCATCTAATTATTGGTCTTGAATAGTTCTGGTGATCTCAATCTCATAATTCCAGATAAAATTTGTGAACTTCAAAAGATTAAAAAATTAAAAAAGAATCCACAGGTTGATTTGCAATACATTTCTCCAACTGTGCCATTATGTAGCCTTACTTAAGCTGTTTTTAAATGTAATGTGAAGATAATTTTGTAATCCTTATTCAGAAATCATGAACTTTATTACAGTCTGTGAAGTGAGGCATTTTTCCTTGTCGTTATTTGCATTCGGTGTCCAAATTTGTGTTCAAAACCTATGAATTGTTCTTCTACTGAAAGTTTTTAGTGATGAACAATAACAAAAACACCCTAACTGTATGCCAAATAAGTTATCAAAACATTAAAACAATGAAAAGATTTTGAAAAAGTAGCAGAACTATCACAAGCAAAAGGGACAATAATCTAGGAAATATTCGTGAACAAAATGATTAAGATTAAAGGAATACACTGAAAACCTTGACAAATGAATAAGTTGGAAAGCACCACTGTGCAACTCATCATCCCCCTCATTGCCACCCACCTTCTTTAAAAGCAAGGCTATACAGAAAAAGTAAGAAGATGTCATATCATGCTACCAGTATCACACAATGAGAGCACATCCTTGTGTCCTTTAAAAAAAGAAAAATTAGTTGTAACTTGGATGAAAGTTCTGCATGATGACCAGAGATCCCATGTAATGTTACTTTCCCCCAATAAAATTACAAAACGATGAACACAGAAGAAAAATAGTAACAACTTTGTAGACTGGCTGGATTGCTGTTAAGGACCACCAACTATAGTTTTAGATGCTTTCCTTGTATTTTCTCATGTACAAGATATGATGTTCAACCCCTCTTCAAAACAATTCTCCATCCATCAGTCTATAAAATGAGGAAACTCTTTTCCTAGACAATTTGGACCTTACCCTCTTATGCATTAGAATTTATAGCCTATCTACCCAGTATACTCAAGCACGATTTGCCTGTCTATTGGCAGTGAAATGCTGCTGTTATAGTGCATGATTCATGACAAAAGATAAAACGGAAGTTCAGAAGGGTCATTCAGAATGAAAATATTGTTTTGTATCTGAGACAGCTTCCACATATATTTAGAATTAATGACAGCAATAAATTAGCAGGAAAAAACCCTGCAGATTCAGAAACAGACATTGCTTAGTTTCAAGGGAATATGAGTATGCAGTATGTAATATAACAACCTTAAAAAAAGAAACAAAGTACTCCAGACTTCAGATTGTCCATCAAGAGTCAGCACTTGGGACAGCAGGCTAAGAAGCACAGAAACCATTTGGCCACAGTCAGCTCCATTAGATGGAGCTTCTCACCCCCGGGGTGAGAAGGGCGGGGTATAAGTAAATGAAATAAATAAATAAAAAATATCTTTTGGACGACTTGGCTTTATGTAATTATATGATTGCTTTTAATGTATTTTATGTATTAATGCGTTTTATGGTGTGATGTTTTAAACTACTGTTTTCGAATCATGTTGTAAACCGACCTGAGTTCCTCTCTAGAGGTTGAGAAGACCGGTATATAAAAGTTCTAAATAAATAGATAAATAAATAAAATAATAGAGGAAGCTATTAAAATTTCTCTATTTAATTAGAATATACATTTGTAATTTGGCTTTTAGAAACACAGATCAACATATGCAAATATATAATCTTTTTTTCTTTTTCTGGGGATAAATTTCCTGTTTTGGGATGACTGATGAGTTAAGTTTTGAAAAATAAAAGTATTTTCAATTAAATTTACAGAACATCTTTAAACAGGAGTTGTGTAAGATCAGTTACCATATTCATATTAATCCAATAACATGATTACATGCTGCAATCTTAGAGTCAACACAAATCAAAGGGATTATGAAAGTCATAGTCACAGCTTCTGCACACAATATTTATGAACTAACATTGGCTTGAGGGAATATAGTTGTATATGAGCTCTTCAATATACAAGAGAATACAAAACTGAAAAATACTTCTCTGGGTAAGAGATTCTGAGAAAGCCAGTCATATTATTAGAAATATTATACACTGATTGAAAAGATGTTGCGGTATCTACTGTCATACTGATCTAACACCTGTAATTTATCTTCATGTTTTATAAGTCTAGTAAACATCAGTTTGAAATTATAAGCACAGTTCTGTATCCCTCTTTTTTATTAAAATGATATTAAATCTTTCAGTTTTCTACAAAAGATTTTACACAGTTCAGACAAAGAATATTTACAGAAGTAGAAAAACTACTCTATGCATAACTACATTACAGAAGAATTAAGGCAACCAAAATGAAAAGGTCAAAATTACTCTGTCTTCAGAAAAACGCATTTAGACTGCAATCTTAAATTAACTTCCCTGGGAGTGAGACTTGCTGAATAAAGATTTGAGATTTCATTGTTAGATGATCAAATTTAGAATACTTGCTGAATAAAGATGTAAGATTACATTGTTAGATGATCAAGTTTATAAGGCAGCACCAAAGCACATAAAATACAGAAAAAATGACAAGATTCTACCAATGCCTTATGCACCTTGATGAAGATATACTGTTGCATAAACTAGAGAATTACAGTAACTTCAATAGCTCAAGAGATATAGTCATCTGAAATTTCAATAATCTGTATTATTATGGTATCCTCTTTTAATGACCACACACAATATCTTTCAGCTTATTTCCTTTTTTGTCCTTCCTGCATACTCTAAAGGGAATAGGCATTATTACCACAATCACAAGCCTATCTAATTAGGAACAGCATTTCAAAAACTGTTACTGCTTCGAAGCACTGGAATTTATTTCACATATGGAATTTTGCAGCTAAGATTAATATTTTAGTTATTAGTAAATCTGTGAAAATATTTATGGAGTTTTCTGAATCGGAATTGCTTTCAATTACCATGCTATATTTTCTTCACATTTTAAGTTCTTTAAATATGATCTTAATTTACCATTATTTGTTATCATGTAGACTACTTTGAGCTAAGAAACGTGATGTTGAAAACAATAAGTAATGATAGTATATGATACTGCCTTGACCAAACAACAGGTTGGACAGAGAGAACAGACAGTGTCAGGGGAAAAAAAGACATTAATAGTATTGACCAACATCTTTGTAGATGGGATATTTTATTGCAGAAGTCACAAAGAATTAGATCTACAAAGCTGGCATTTCTGACACTGTCGTGTTGTTTTTCTTGCTGCTGCTGTTGATTCTTGATTTGTATTGACTCTAAAGTGAACTATCACAGGGCTTTCTGGATCCTGAAATGTCAGACAGCCTCTCCTGACAATTTCATACATTTGTTAAATAGCATGGGAGAACATACAGGCCAATGACCAATAGTTTAGGATTGGTCCCTCCAGGACAGAGTGAAGTTAGCCTAAAACAGTGGTTCCCAACCTGTGGTCCATGGACCACCAGTTGTTTACAAGAATGAAAATATGGTCTGCGGCCTCACCGTTACTACACCGTTGCTTCGAAACCATGCGGTAACAAGAATGACTGGTCTTGCAAAACCATCTTATAGTGCCGAGCAATGGGGATGTTGGGAAGGAAGAGGCTGACTACCCACTAAAGATTACTACTACCGCATCAGCTCTAGATTATTAAATATGGTTTTCTGTGGGTCAGCAGATGGCGACTACTGGATGGCATATGCTCTGTATCAGAAACTAGAGCTGATGTGGTCTATCTAATGCAATTTTCTGAATGAGCACCCCAAATAACCAAACTGAATCTAAAGTTTTTTTTGTTTTTTTAATTGTATTTTATGGTCTTGGTACCAACTGAAACCGTCCCGAGTCGCCTGTGGGCTGAGAGGGATGGTATATAAATATAGTAATGAAATAAATAAATAAATAAATAAATAAATAAATAAATAAATAAAGTTGACCAAAATCTGATTCATAATCCTTTTGTTACTCATGTTGGAGAGCGGTCCCTCGTCAAAGTGGTCCCTATTCAAGTGGTATCTGGTCAAGTGGTCCCTGATCAAATTGGTCCTTGGACAAGTGATCCCTAGTTAAAAAAAAAGTTGGGAACCACTGCCTCCATGTCCCATCACAACTTAGGTGAAGCAAATGATGAACAATGATATCAAAAGCTGCTGAGAAGCCCAGCAGAATCAAGAGGAACACACTCCTGCTATCCAATTTCTGTCATAGTTTCTCCACCAAGATGACCAAAACTGCTCCTCTCCCACAGCTAGGCCTGAAAACCTACTGAAATGGACCTAGTAATTCATCTAATCCATAAACCATTGGAGCTATATGGCCTCCACACTGACAAATCATTAGATGTCTCTTGTCTACATAAGTTGAATCTCAGCTAGAGCAAAATCTACCCAAACAAAATCTGAATCAGATGTGTTATTATTTGTAAGAGGACTTATATATTTGTATTTTTGTGAGAGGAAGTGTTCCTTGTTTGTACTCAGTAGCTCCAGACCTAATTTGTACTTGATTCTCAAAGAGGTCAAAACTTTATCTTTTCTTAGTGGAAGTCAGAGAAGACTTTCAAATCTTTACTGCAACTTTCTTCAAATTTTTTCATGCTGCTAGTAAATTAGCATTAATACTAAGTATTTGCTACAGCAAGTAATTTTCAGTACCTGATCTTGAGATTTCTTTTTCTTCTTCTTTTTGCCCCAGCATCCTGAGCTTTCTGCATCTTTTCCGTTGGTATCACCACAAAGTAAACCATCAAGTTCATCGGTCCCCATTTGCTGTCCCTGAGATGTTTCTGCAGCGAGTCTGTATGAGAGGTTCCTTAAAATGCACACACAGTTTTCGACGGTCTAAAAGGGAAAGGCAAACACAAGTGACAGTTCCTTTTAAGAGTCATGTTTTCATTGAAAAAGTTACTATACTTGTTATGTATTTTGAATCTAAATTACAAAATGGCCTAATTGCTCTCTACTGTAGCCAATCATCTTGTGCCAAATCAAGAAAATCTGATTATAAAAATGGTCAGTTCATATGTCCATTATGGTAGTAGGGTGTCCACACATAGCAGATGTGTGCAGAGACAAACACATGCACACTTTCAAGCATGCAACACTGATTTAAGCCTGTAAAAATCAAACCACTCAATTTAAGTATGAAACAGGCAAAAAAGTTATCTGACTGAAAGAACTGAGCCTTCGTCAATATTTAATGTGATTACTAGTGCCGATCCAATTTCAGAAGGCATCCGCAAGCACTGGAATTTGCTAATTACAAATTCAACACAGGGGAAAAGCTACTTATGTTATGGTCTTATGTTTATCTCCTGTGTGAATCCTTCTGGGATTTGTAATCAAGAAAACACCATGAAACAGCCAAGTATGTTTTAGGGAGTCATCCATCATGTAAGCTGCTTATTTCAACTACCTAAGCTCCTAAAGTACTTTTATAGCAGTGAAAACAATAGATTTGCAATTTAGTCAGTCTCTAAGATTGATGGAAAAATCATACAGAATACAGGGGAATCTCAAAGACAGCCTTTGCTCTTATGCAAGAAAGTCATGATGAAATATAGAAATCTTCTTCAAGAAAAATATCACACCATTCTTTAAAATGGGCTCGCCTTTCCCTTTCCACATTAAAGTAGTTAGACTTATAAAATACAAATGGTAGGCCTGGCTGAATGAAACATTGTCCTCAGGGACAAGGATAATAACTGTGATGGGATAGTGACTGAAAGAGGGCCCTGCTCCAACCATTATCTATTTTATTGCACAACCTTGGATCAAATTTACTCCCCGTATCTCTGCACAAGCTTCATTTTTCATCCAACATGGCTACCTTTACCCCACAGAAACTATTCTCATGAAAATCAGATAACCTCCTATCTACCAAATGCAAAGTTTCCAGGCTTTATTTCATCCCTTAATTTTTTGATGATAAGATTTTTAGAGTGAGAAAATGAGTTGTTTTGCCTGGAGCCTTGTTGCCTGAAACATTATAGTTCAATGACATGGGTCACTTACTGTAACATTTTTTGCCCCAAAGAAGCAAAAGTGCCCATGAGACCAGAAGACAGATGGGGCAATCTCTGCTCCTTCTTCTTGGTTGCATGGCCATCTCTGTCGATGTTAGAAGAGGGCACTTGTGACAGCCAGGTGCTCACATGGAGCTCTATGTCTGGCTGGAAGCAGCAGTGGTGGCAATATGATCCTGATTCATCTCCTTTTCGGTGATTGATGAATGTATGAAAAGAGTGGTGGTGCCGTCATTTGACATGGACGGTGGAGTAGTCTGAATTGAACTCAATTCAACGGTCCAGATTGTGGGATATCCTTTGACTCTGCTGAAGCATGGCAAAGCTAGTTTAACCCTCAAAACCTCTGATACGTATTGGAAGTAGTTGAAAATTATGAGGCTAATCAGAAGTCAATTCAGGGTGAGACTGGTTTTTCTTGTCTGCACAGACTCACTCGGTCCAATATTCTTCCTTGTTACTTTCAACCTTCTAACCTCGTATGTGAGGTATGTGTCATGTTTTCTTAGGAGAAGAAGAAAACTTTAATTTCAGATGATTATCTATAAAGGACACTTTAAAGGAAAGCTAGAAAGGTTTAAAAATACCCAAATTTCCCTATTTTTGATGCCATATGAAGAAACGGTCTGGATTTCATTGATCAAAACAACTTCAGAAAACCCAATTCTCAGGCATTTCAATCCTTCTGTTTTGGAAGGTAATTCAAGATACTTTGATTCACAGCACTAATTCAGCTTCTGTGTTGCTAATGAAGCTAAAACACCTCCACTTTCTTCACTGTTGGAGACAGGAAGAAGGGAAACGTTTCTTGGTGTGGATGAAACGGGCTCATTTAATTTTTATTCTGACTGCAGTGATACCTTGGATTGTTTTAATGTCCACTATTTGAGGATAAACTATTATCTTACTTTAATCTGAAAAAGTACTTATTACTGAGCCATGCATATATAATTTCACAGAAGAAAGAATATTCTATTGAGGACATGCTGTCTTTCTCCCGCAAAGGTATAGAAACATGCATTCTGGTTTTCCTTTAAATGTGAAAAGTTCAAAAGGAACAAAGAACAGAATGAGCATGAATATAAAATGTAAAAGGAAATGCTAGTAATTTCATCTAATGTTTCCACCAGTTTGGTTCAAAAGATGAAAAGTACAAACATCCCCATATGCAGCTTCTATAGATAAAGTAGAATCTTTATATCTCTAAGTGAAGCTCTTTCTTCTTGACAGCCAACAGTGAACTGAACTGTCAATATAAAAGTTCTTTCTTAATGCTTGCCAGAACTATGTTAACTATCTCAAGTCCTGTTAGTAACATAAACATAACAATGTATGGTGGGGAGCTATATATAATTTCCCATTCTCCCTATGCACACACAAGTGGGATGTAATATTTCTCTAATTTCCTTCTTGAAGGAAGCAATGACTACTTTTAGCAACTGTTGTTGGCTTTTAGCAGCAAGATCTGGGCAGCTGTGTTATTTCCATCCCTGCTATGAAGTGAACTGGAGAGAAGTTCAGATCCATATAATATAGAGTTTATTTAAAAAATCTGAATTTTTAACCTAAACACTCAGTTTTTCACATTCAATGTGATTAGAGACATAGGGCCTTGGGCAGCCAGTGGAGCTGCCGTAGCAGAGGGTTGTATGTTCTCTGTATGCTGCTCCAGTGAGCAACATGGCTGCCATATGCCTGACTAGTTGAAGCTTCCAAACAGTCTTCAAAGGCAGCCCCACATAGAGTGCATTGCAGTAATCTATTTAGGAAGTAACAATAGTGTGGACCACCATGGCCAAGTCAGACTTACCAATGCACGGGCACAAACTGGCGCCCAAGCATGATTCTATGGTTAACTTTTACTGGAAGCTGACCACAGAATCACACTGGAGGACCTAAAGATTCCAAGGAATCTCTAGGTCCTCCTGTGTGACTGGAGGAAACTGACCATAGAGTCATCTTAGAGCACCTAGAAATTCCTAGAGATAACATTTTAAATTCAATTTGTGAACCATCACATCTGCAAAAATCAAAGCTTCAAATGTGGAGGGCCAATTGTACCAGTATACAGCCTGCAAGATGTGCCTCCATAATGATGTGCATCCATTGGTGTCTTGTGGTTATTTATACATAATTCTGTATCTGTATAGACTAAGGTGACAAACCTTGCTATCAATTTCACTGCTTCCTAGAGCAGACTGAATCACATACAGCAATGCATCAGTAAGTCCATCACACTCTCGCATTCTTCTGCGGGCTTCTTCTCCAGCAGAGCTGACATTCCTATAAGAAAATGAGAGTGGTCAATCTCTTTGGAATTTTGCTCTTCATCGCTGGTAGCAGACCTTCAAAAGAGTTTTTTAAACAGGCAAAACTCATTGTGTCTTGCTGATTTAATGGTGTGAATGAAACAATTCTAATAGGAATCATATGGAAAAAATGCAAATGTCATGATCACAGAGAAGTTTGTAATTTGAGCTAATTGACCTAATTGTTTTGAGAATTTAAAACAAGTCTTCAGTGATTTGAAATATATATGTTTCTACTGCTCTACAAGACTTCATCGTATAAAGTACCATGTAAAACTGATTTTTTTCAAGAATCGTGACAGCCATTTTGCATTGTTTTTTGTGTGTGTCATTTCCGAAGAAGTTTGTAACATCTCAGAAACCATCCACCTGAAGGTGCTTTAGCTTTTAGTACTTCATGATCTTGAAACTAATAAACTTTATTTGGTTGTTACTAGATAGCGACCTTACTTTATATTTATTTCTCATTATATTTAACAAAACAGAGATTTATATGCAATCACTTTAAAATATGCAAGTGTTCAAGAAAAACTATATAGAAATTGACAACATAGAAAAATGTATTAAACACAAACATTATTCCTTCAGGTTTCCCTAACTTATTACAATAAAATACTAACTAGGTCACAATTCTGAACAGCTCTGTTCAGCTCTATTTCATAACATTAGGATTTTCAATGCCATGAAAAGGTAATTTTCACTTTATAAAACACCAATTTCAGTGGGCTGCTATCTTCTGCTGTGTCGCAAGCTGTAAGCCCCCAAATCATTTGGTATTGACTAAACTAAGTATACTTTTTCATGATACTTACAATAACAAAGACTCCTCATATCTTTAAACTCACAGGTATTGATATTTTTGTATATATAAAATGTAACTATAGAATCTATTATGAATTTGAATATGATTTTTAATTCTTGATCTTTCAGTCAAATGGGCCATAAAAGCAATCATTTAAATTTATTCAGCCATTCAGTCTTTTTGTTTTGAAAAAAATCAGAGCAGTTATCCCACTTGGTCAAGAGTCTATCAAGTAGCTTTTGTCTTGCCCTAAATGTCCAAGCCAAACACATCTAAAATATCAACATTCTTCTCTGCCCAAATTAAACAGATCTTTTGGAGCGATATACACATACTGTTCGTTAAGTTGAACAGTTGCTCATTATGACAAACTCTTATGTAGGGATTATGTACTAATGTAATTTAGAAATATTAATACTCTCTAATTGAAAAGACTTCTGGGGCTTTCTGAAAAAGTAAATAGCCCACAAGATTACTATTTCAGAAATCCCCAGAAATATTTTCACAGCCCATAAGATAGGGGATAACAGCTTCTTCTCAAGCAGGTTTTTTTTGGTGGGGGGATTCACAACTTATTAAATATATAGTGTTGGAAAAAAAGTTCTGTGGATATCCTGAGTTGCACAAAAGACAAATGAAGGCATCCGAGAGCAAATCAAGCCTGAACATTACACAGAAGCCCACTCAGGTCCCCTACATAGGGTTGCTATAGGTCAAAGCTGATTTTATGCCACTTATTATTATTATTATTATTATTATTATTATTATTAAACTTTATTTGTACCCCGCTAGCATCTCCCGAAGGACTCGATGCGGCTTACAAATGCCAAGGCCTCAACACACAACGTAACAATACAAAACCCAAGGCAAATTAAAAACAATTAAAGCAATATAACAACAAGCAATAAACAATACACTAGGACACAATGAAACTGGGCCTGGCCAGAGTAATGGGTACAGGATTAAAAGTGCTGATGTGACAGGAGGTATATAAGGCTTATAGGGCAAGTGCAGTGTGCAGCGTGCAGCAATCTTAATTTTAATAAAGTGCTTCTGGGACTTGGTATTAGAGATTTCCTATTCTAAGAAGGCACATCGGAACAGCGAGGTCTTCAAGTTTTTTCTAAAGACTGCCAGGGTAGGGGCCTATCTAAGATCTTTGGGGAGGGTGTTCCAGAGTCGGGGGGCCACCACAGAAAAGGCCCTGTCTCGTGTCCCCACCAAACGCGCTTGCGACGCAGGCGGGATCGCGAGCAGGAGCTCTCCAGATGACCGAAGTGAACGCGTGGGTTCGTAGACGGAGATGCGGTCACGCAGGTAGGATGGTCCCAAACCATTCAGGGCTTTGTAGGTAAGCACCTGCACCTTAAATTGGGCTCGGAAAATAAATGGCAGCCAGTGGAGCTCCCTGAACAGGAGGGTTGACCTCTCTCTGTAAGGGGCCCCAGTTAACATCCTGGCCGCTGCTCGTTGGACCAGTTGGAACTTCCGAGCCGTTTTCAAGGGCAGCCCCACGAAGAGTGCAAAGTTCTCATCGACAGCCTCCCATGCTTTCCTCCCCATACATACAAAAAGACCATATTCAAATGTGAAATTCAGAAAAGGGCTGATGAATGGAGATGCAAATTAGAGAAGTTTTTTTCTATAGTAACAAAGAATAGAAAACCAAGATTATGGCAACCAGATTGATTGATAACTAGTGAACAGAGGGAGAAAATGTGGAGGCAGTGACAGACTTTGTATTTCTACGCACGAAGATTACTGTAGACACAGACTGCAGCCAGGCAATCAGAAGATGTTTGCTTCTTGGGAGGAGAGCAATGACCAATCTCAATAAAATAGTGAAGAGTACAAACATCACAGTGGCAACGAAGATCCGCATAGTTAAAGCAATGGTATTCCCCGTAGTAACCTATGGATGCGAGAGCTGGACCATAAGAAAGGCTGAGCAAAGGAAGATAGACACTTTTGAACTGTGGTGCTGGTGGAAAATTCTGAGAGTGCCTAGGACCGCAAGAAGATCCAACCAGTCCATACTCCAGGAAATAAAGACCGACCGGTCACTGGAGGCAAGGATATTAGAGGCAAAGATGACGTACTTTAGCCACATAATGAGAAGACAGGAAAGCTTGGAGAAGACAACGATGCTGGGGGAAATGGAAGGAAAAAGGAAGAATGGTCGATCAAGGGCAAGATGGATGGATGGTATCCTTCAACTGTCTTAACTTTGAAGGAACTGGGGGAGGCCATAGCTGACAGGGAGCTCTGGTGTGGCTGGTCCATGAAGTCACAAAGAGTCGGAAGCGACTGAATAAATAAACAATAACAAAGACTAGCGGATAGCAAATGAGACTAATAATGCTACATTTCCAGATTCTTAATGTGTTTTTATGCACCTGGATAGCCATAATGTTATTGTGTGTGTATGCGGATAAAAAGGGAATGCAGTTTTTTAATGGGTCAAAAGTACTTTTCTTCTGCTACGTGTTTTACTTAGATGATTGTGAAGAACAGGAATCCAAGTGAGAGGAAGAGAGATGAGTAAAGACCCAAACTTGGTCTCCTGTTTTCTTGCAATTTGCACAACCAAGCCTGACACTGTGTTTTGCCTCAGGCAAAAGACGTGACAGTGCCCTATTATAAATATACAAGTTGACTACACTTGCAGCTGCATTTTTCTCCAACACCAGAAGACAGGGATGCTGGTCAGGCTGTGTAGCACACAGCTTTCTCTCTCTCAGCACCCTCTTTCTGTCTCCCAGCATCTACTACTTAAGGGAAGTGCCTCAACATGCCTCATATTAGGAGAGAAGTAAATATAATAGAAGACACTATAACAAGTCTCTGGGGTGGGAACATCACACTGCCCCCAAACTGGATATGCTCTCTTTAGCAATCCGATGCGTATCAAATTGATTTTGCTGACAACTAGTAAGACAGTAAACAGAGTAGCAATGACTGGGGCCAGGATTTGTCTCTGAAGAGGAAACTTCTACAAACTAGGCTTTGATTGTCGATCTGCTCCATGAATTATAGTTGGTTGAATGCAAACTTCTTGAAATCAGACAAGAAGTAATGTCATTTCAAGTAATGTCATGTTGGTGTCATATTCTCTCTCCCCCCCCCCCCCAAAATAACGATTACATTTATTCTATATGACCTTGCTACTGGGAAAAATGATTCACTGTTGGTAACATGAGGTGCATCACACAGATTGAAAGTTACAGGTTTTGTTCAAATTCTTTCCAACTTTATACAAAGTTAAAATAAATCAACAAGGGAAGGTGGTATGAATAGTCTTTGATCAAACCAGGCAGTTGTCAGAAAATGCATTATTTTTAGAACACAATATATGAATTGATATTGGCAATATCAATTTTGTTTTGTAAGGCTGCTATCAAATACTTAGGCAGACTTTCATTTAATAAATCTCTTTTTCTATTATGTGATTACTCTTTGGGGGAAAGGAAGTCCAACAAATGTGATGCAAGTAAACCTAAAAGTGCCTTAATAAGGACATTTTCTTCAGGACATTTCCAATCTAGCATAATTCAGCAGGTTTGATTGCCTTTCACTACAAGAACAACTTGATTGCCAAAGTATGTGCTATTCATGCTAGATTTCAGCTTATTAGTCAATATTGAGACTTCAATATTGTAAGCTGCAATAATTTCTATAAGGCACAATCGAGTAAATTGGTTTATTTAAGTATTTTGACCTTTTGTGAATTGGAAGAAGGGCAAAGGACAGCTCTTGGAGAATCTGGGAGTCTTTATTAACCCAGGCAGTCTGTAAATGTATGACATGTATACTTTGTGAATCTCCGTATTAACAAGACAAGGTAAGAAGAACAATGAAGGGAGAACAATAATGGGACTCTAAACCACACAAGAAATTATTTTAGATTCATGACTTCAACATGGAGGGAAACACTATGCAGCATGATTTAATATAGCTACTTATGCTTGCTTGCACCTCCACTTTGATGCCATAAGTACTGTACCAGGAGCTGTGATCTAGTACTCTTTGCCTTCTTTCATGGTATAAAGAAAATTAGACGTTGACCTTTTTGACTTTGGCAGGGGGGAAGACTTTTCAATCCCACCTCTGCCCCCAATGTAATATAATTTAACCTATATGTGACGTAACTCGCCGCTGGACACCACTGTAAA